GCACAACAAACATTTCTTACTTGAAGGGAAAAAGGATCTATTTATACGCATTTGATTTTTATTCGCGAAAAAAAAAACCTTTCTTGCTAGGTTTTACTAGAATTAGGTCTTATTAACCGAGCTAGAAGTCTGTATGGGAGAATCTTGACCGAGTGAGGTCTGTACACACAACCGAGGTCAAGATTCTCACATACAGACCGGCTAAGCTCGGTTACTAAGATGTTCTTTCGTACGTCAAACAAGTAAAATTTAATAAATTTAATGCTGACTGGTTTGTAATAGCTGACATTTTGCTTGCGAACTGCGATGAGCTAAACGTAAATCTGCTCGCCCTCTTTACTTTTTTGTTATCTTCCATAATAAGAATATTTTCTGGAACTAATACTACTAGAAGAAAATATGCAATAGTTTTGCACTTAGTTTGCAACTTTTTTCATTGCAAAATGTAACCGGTCCACCGAGGTCTAGATGTCGGTCTAAATGAGAATAAATACCCCCTCTCACTATTTCATTTTTCTGACATTGACTTGTTAAAAGAGAAAATAGTAATATGGCAATAATCTCAATGTTTTTCAAAAGGAAAACTGAAGACAAAGAGTTAAATTAACTAAATCTAGTATATTAAATGGCATACTAACTTTTTCACGGTCGTCACCTGTTTGTTCTCCATACTTTCCGGACAAGATGCTTAAATTTGACTTTCTATTTATCCTTCTCTGGCGACATCTTTTATCATCTGCGGTTGACCATCAAATTAACTGGCCTGAGCAAGTCATACGTGCTTTTTCTAGCTCATTTCGATTTCCTCCAGCAATAGTTTTTGATGGGCGCGATTCTGTAATGCCGATTATCTGTGCAGTTTATTTATTGAAAGGTTCTTGAACTGCCTAAGGTAGACTGTTCGACGTACCGTCATCTTGCATATTCTGAGCACGCAGGGAAAGGCAAGCGGTTCTGTTGCAAGATATGCTTGCTCAGTCGTATAATCTCTTAATTTGTTAGGGCTAATATCCACACATTCAGTTGAAATATATATACGCCCAGTTTAAACGTCCGTGAAGCAAAATTGTATCGTTTTTCTTTTTTTAAATATACTTCTTAGCACCTCTGTAGCTTTAAAATTCAGCATCAACGCCTGTTTGCAAATCTGACTAATAATTTATTCCACAGGGTTTAATACGTAAAGAGTAATATCTGAAGCTTGGTGTGGTGACCAGTGCACAGTCTCCAAAAGCGTGGATTTAAGCTTTGAAATTATAAGCTTTGACAATATTCTCATCGTTACACCTTGACAGGTGGGTTTGGCTAAATTTATAAGCAAGTGCTGACATAGCCATATATGAAATTCACATTACCAATTTATAGTGTGAAGACTTAAAGACTTGAAAACTTGAAAATTGGAGTAAGGTACTTCCCCTGGCCTTAATCAGCATCGGTCACACTAAATATTTCTCAGTAACAGAAACTGGTGAAAACTAGTCATCGATAACATATTAACGAAAGAGGGAGAACAGTTTGTAATGGTATATTTCCGATATTCAATATTAGTTCTTTGTGTTTCCTAACATAAACAAGCCAGCTATAGTTATAAAAGAAGATCTATTAATTACTTTTTCAGCAGTTTATCAACAGCTGCATGGCGACATGATTGCCGACTAAAGCACGTATGATTGAGAAATGTAAGTTATGATGAGATTTGCACTGACCCACTTTTCAGTTTTGGAGAAATAGGATAGACTGAGAGAAGGTTTAATAGCGTGTCTAGAGCACAACGATGAAATAAAAATAAATTGATATTACATTCACCCGTATAGATGGATTATAGGAAACCTTCCAAACCATCCAGAGTATTCTTCGTGAAAATGGAAAGCTCTTGTCCCTTAAGACTTTTCTTGGGACTACTAAATGTAATTTGATTTCTCAACAATTTTTTTCTTAACCAGTTTTAAGTCACTACTGTAATTTTAAAATACACGCTAGAAGCGACAACGTCTTTGTCAAGTAAGAAAACGCTGAATTTGACTTTAGAGTTCAGTTATCGTAAGTCGACTTCAACCGCTTCTATAAAATG